TAAATAAGAAGTTGGTCTGTGCAGCATTGGTAGAGTATTTCACACATTTTGCTTACCGCCGGAATCGCAATCCAAATCCAAGGAACAGAAGGAGGATGGGGATGACGAATCAGACTCGAGACCGAATTGGGATAAAGGTGAGTTAGCGAAGGAATCGATATCATCGTGGAGTTCTGAAATGAAATCTTCTAGGGAAGTTTTTTGACAGAGGTGTTAGTGTCCCAACTCATGCTCACGGATATGATTAGAAGTTTGCAGGCAGAAAATTGTAAGATTTTATACTATTCAGCCTAAGGATTAACCTTTGAACGTCTCATCAATTTTTGTTCAATATGGGTGTCCCAAATTTAAAGACACCTTAATAATTTTTCTTTAACTATATCCGGCGATTTCCACGTCAAAAATTAACTATGGATTCGGTTTTTGTCGTTTTCAAATGAGCGTGAAGATTGTAGAATGACACTAAGTACGTTCGTTCTGTTGCACTACTGCTCATGGGTTTTAAAGACTACCAACAGAGTTGGTAAAATGTTTTCTAGAGGGCCGTATATAGGAGAAGCTTTTCTTCCTGATTCTTGTACTACATGTGGTTTGAAAAACCACAAAATTATGGCCTAGCATCGAAAAGAAAAAAGTAAAGAGAGCAAGTGGAGAAAGGAAACAAAGAAAGTAAGTGATGATGATTCAGAACATGTCATTCATCAACCTTCATTATTAGGTTGATGCGAAAGTTTCTTCGTTTTTTCGCGTAACTTTGACTGATCACGAGATTCTAATGAAACAGCAGAAAGTCAATAAACCAAATTCCTTCATTACTACAGCTTCCACTAAGGTACAATTCCAGTTCAGTGACATTAGCTATCTTCGAGCTAAATGTAAATGGTACAATTTTCAATATTCTTCTCATGAATAAGTAGGTCTCGAACTTTTGGGATTCACCTGAATCCGAGCTCAAAGAGCAGGTTATTGATACTACATTCCTCCTGGATTGTAAATCTTTATTCTCAAAATTTTAACATCCAATGTTACTCACATAGGCACCCGATCGTATCCAAAAATGAAAAATTAG